GGGGAATTCTGGGAGTTGAAGTCCAGACATCTCAAAGTTGCCAAGGTTGAGAAACACTGCTTTAGTGAGTAGGCCCTAAGAAGACTTGAGATAATGAAAAATCTAAGTATTACAGAGAGTGGAGCTTTTTATTGGTCATTATTTAGGGACGAGAATAAGAATAATTTTTTAAAAATCCCATTTCTCAATACCCCAAGTCCTTCCTGGGATGGCGTTTCACCTCTTAGTATTAGCATCAAAAGGGTTTTGCCTTCCAATACTTCTTCCCTAGCTTTGTATTCTCTTTCCGTAGCACACGCCAGTATTCCATGGTGTCAGGATCCAGTTCTTCCAGCTTCTTAGGAGGCCCTAGGTACATATTGAAAAGCCTAGAATGGGGAGACAGGGGGAAGGAGTAATAAAATGGAGTCAAGAAGCATCTCGAAAAGTTTTTAAACAGCAGAGATTGTGGCTTTCTAGGGAGGGCTAATCTACAATTCCCACTGGTTTAGGATGAGGGAAAGGATGATTAAAAAATGTGCAAGTGGGAAAATGTTGCATGAGGCTGAAAAACAGGCACAAATGAAGTCAAAAAGTTACAAATGAAGGAGCAATGTGGAGAAAAGGGGTCAGCTGGAAAGCTGACAATGAGAACTGATAGGAAGGCTCTACGCCAGTGTTTCAACCTTGGCAGCTTTAAGATGTGTGGACTTCAACTCCCAGAATTCCCCAGCTAGCCATGCTGGCTGGGGAGTTCTGGGAGTTGAAGTCCACACATCTTAAAGCTGCCAAGGGTGAGAAACACTGCTCTACGCTGCCAAGAAGGAGATAATGAGAACACTGAGGCTTCTAAGAGAGTAACTTGTGGTCTGTAAGCTACTGTAAACAAATTGCTAAAAGTTGCAAAAAAACCTTCCAGGCAACTGGGCAAGTTCCAAGAGAGAACTAAGCCAACCAATATTAGGAAAAACTCTGGAGGCCTTGAGACCTTTTCTGCCATCATGACTGATCCTGTGCATCAACAAGAAACAGTACTGCTGGTGCTAATGTATTTATTTATTACAGGTAGTCCTTATTTACAGACAG